CCATTAGCTGGTCTAGCAGAGCAGGAGTGTTTATGTGAGAGGCACGTTGTTATTCAGAAAGCATACTCTGGTTTTGATAGCTTTTGTCTAAATCTATGCCAAACGGGAACCAAAGGTACAGATAACACTATTCACTAAGTGTTTAATCCAGAAAATATCCAGCAAGAGCAAATCTCAAGCCATATTAGTAGGAATTCTTTTTTGCTTTGCTTTTAATGTACTTCATTAATGGTTTTGCAGAACCAGGATCTTCACCTGTCTATACTGTGGGTGGGCATATCATGCCCTGTATCATCATGAGATTTCAGGCACTTTTGTAAAGGTTATATGTATTACATAGTTAAAGCTACTTTTGACATTTAATTTGGGTGCATCCCTGAGGGGGGCCAGATTCTTACGCAGTCAATGGAAAGAGGGAGCTGCCTCTAAAGGGCATCTGGCTTAGACGACTACAATAACCTGAGGTACCTGATGTGATACTACCTGCTAAAACCTCACTGTGTCCAAATGATATCGCACTTGTCTACAACCTCTGTCGAGCCCTCTCCTTCCTATTTTGTCACTTGGTTGTTCCAGTTTTCTCTTGCTTTTTTTTTGGTGTATGAAAATCTCTCATGTTTATCTTTTGACAGATAATGCTTTATTTTGCCTTTAGCTTGTTTTCATAGCGGGTTTGTTAATATTGCTGTACTGAAGATATATACTGTATGCTCATGGACATGAGCTGTATCTACTTTCCAAGTAATATTGTGTATATAATCCCACTGAATTGCAATTATATCCGCCAACCAAAATTCGTGACCCTGGACTGTTTCTGCCTTGTAACTACACATTTCATTCTTCATTATGAAACTTTTGGCAATGTAACTAGCAGCCTGTAATCAGCTGGAGTGCAGGAACTTTGAAGTGCTGGGGCTGTGAGAAATAATCTGTGAAGCTACAGTGCAGGTCGGTTTGTTTTGGTGAACGTGGTGGAATCACAGGATGGCAAAAGGTTAAGGAGGTAGGCATGGGGCAGCCATATGCAATGTAGGTAAATTGGTTATTTTTGGAAGTGATACTCAGTCAAAGTTCAGAAATGTATAGCACCAAGAGCAATTTCAGGGATTAAAAAAGCAGATTACATAATACCAAAGCAGTAATAATTTAGCCAGATGGGAACTGGGTGACCAGGCATGGGTTTATGGGTGGGGTGTGAAAGAGGAGAAAGCTTACTTTCCATGGGCCAGCAGGCCATTGGAGGGCATGTATCCATGGTCTGTCTGTGCTCCTCTCCCTCTAGACTGTCCTCTGGGTGGTAGGTGTATACATAGCCTAATAATTGCTAAAAGATTTAATAAAGATGTAAGCTCCTTATTCTACTCTCACTTCATCACATGATGCCTTTAACTTTCTTCAAAGTTAGGCGGAATCACCTTTTAGGAAAGTGTGCTTTTGTCAGAAGCAAGTATTTTGGCTCAAAAAGGTTAATCCGGGTAGTTTCCTTTTGCCTTGTGTGCTTTGCATGTGGTCAGACTGTGTCCAGTGTTCTCCGCTGCTCTTAAAATCTAATTTTAAAATGCTCCAAATTAAATTATCATTATCTTTTTTCATTTAAAAGATAGGAATGTTCTGTTAAACCGAATGGTCCCCTGGCATTTCTGAGGCTGTACGTGCATGTGCACTCATGAAGTTTTACAAAGAGCCAAGGCAGGTACGCAGAAATGGCGGATGCCTTATCAAGAGGTGGATTGTAGCACAGAAGGAGCACAGAGAGCTGGGCTGGGGCTTTCTTCAGCAGCTGGCCCACGTTGGGTCCCAAAGAGTTCCCCATGTAAAATTAATCTGCAGGAATATTAGCATGTGAATATTACAGTTTATGAACCGATAACTCTTGCTGAATAACTTTCCATAACTAATGCCGACACATTGAATGGTTTTCGATACTCCTATAAAAAAAGCTACTTCTGAAATGTGATTTTATCAAATACTTGGTATATTATTAGATCAATGAAGTCAGTTACACATTCCAAACATAATAGTATGTAAATTAAGCTAAAAGTTAATTTTACATTTTCCCCAAGCAATGAAACCATGTCCTGATAGATATTGCATTTTAATTTTCTTTTTGTTGATCATATTATATTTTCTTTCTCCTGTTACTTTCTGTAAACAGTATAATTTCATAGTGTGACAGCCTATATACTAAATACCACAGTGAAACAGGGGGAACTGTATTATTCTGTATATACTGACAAATCTCTTTGGTTAATGTGCGTTCAATAAAGTTAAAATAGCAAATGTTATTAAACTAGGGGAAAAGCACAATGAAAGTTATTAGTGTTCTTTTCTCTGCCGGTGTTGTGCATGTGCCACTTTTTTTTTTTCTTTCCTCTAAAAATACAGTTTTATTGAAATAAGACAGGAAGAAAAAAACTACAGCATAAAAGTGCCATAGCAGTAAAGATGTTTGTTTCAGCGCCATCTCAAATGATGAGAGAGCCTGTTTCTTTTTTCAGGCAGTCGAAGAGTATTAAATGTTGTTCTGTCTTTTCAGTTAAACAGCAGCATTAAAGATAAAATAAAAGTTTAAGAATTAATAATTTTTCCTTCCTCAGCCAAATGTCCTCCCACATTTTCAAAGTAATATACCCAGAGGAGGAATTTAAAAAATGACCGGCTGGTTTTTTTACCTCCATTTCACAGAACTGCAATATCGTACTTCGTTATTAGCTACATAACAAATCAAATTCGAAAAACCACTTAGAGGGCCTTTACTGAGAGACGTTTTAGTCCACATTGCCTGACAGGAGCGTCGGTCGGGACAGAAAGCGCCTGCCCCTGCGTCGGTGGATGGTTTGTGCTTGAGGAGCCTCAGCCGGTTGCCTGGTTTTTGCTCGTGTTGTGTGGTTGAGTTACCACTTCGGTGCTGTCAACCTCCTTAGCGCTGGAAGAACCCAAAAAAGGCAGCTGTCTGCCTCCAGAGGAGCATCACTAGGCTGTGCTTGTGGTGCCCATAAGAGCTAATGAGCCAAATGGCATCTCTGTATGGGCTTTGTTGAGAGGGAGTGTTGGCCAGGATGGCCGCCTCCAGGACAGCAGTCCTTCCCCCCTGTTTCTGGCTCGGGGCTGCCTCTTCCCTTTCTCAGCTCTAGGGCTGCCTTTCCCAGCTCTCCCAGCTGTAGCCAGTGACCGTGGGTTGTTTATCGCCCTGACCACTGCCATCGAGCTGGGCCCTGGCGCTGGTGGTTGTGGCTGTTCGTCCCCGCTTCAACGCCACCTCTGAGCAGAGGCGCCTGGCGCCAAGCTGCGGGCCGCACGGCGGGCCCTGCTCTCGGGCGGGCAACGCGCCGCGGGGCGGCCGCGGTGAGTCTCTGACCTGCTCGAGGGAAGGCTGCCGTCCCCTTGCTGCCATCCCCTTGCTGGCGTTCGAGGCCATGCCCCTCTGCCGGGCAGGGGCCTGGCTGTCTCTCTCCATGACGCAGCGTGCCTCTCGCCCTCCAAACCCCCTGTGTTGCAGGGGTGAGCCAAGCGGCTGTAACCTCTCCTGTCAGAAACTGGGCCGGCCGGACCCCCATATGCATTTTGACCCCCTTATGCTTGTACGTGGTGCTTCGTACTGCTTGGGAGGCACTTTCTAGGGTCAAAAAAAAAAAAAAAAGTAAAAACCTAAAAAGTAAAAACCTAAAAAGTCTGTACATCTAATAAATCAATCCATTTTTTTCCCACCCTTCTCCCCTCAAATCACCTCAAAACACTTTTCCTTGAGTAACTAATGTCAAGCCGTCATTAAAAATTCTGCTTTTGCTAGACACTCTATGTGGGGAAAACTTAAGGCGGGGGGGAGGTGGGGGGGGGCTTTTCTCTTTTGAAAATAAGAGAAGGGATGGGTGTCCAGATTGCTTTTATCATTAGCACTGCCTCACATCTTTACCTACCGAATCACTTCTACAGCAACATAATGTATAATTATATATATTTCCAAGTGTCAAGGTTTCTCGTTTAAAGCTTAAGTCAGTTTTAAGTCCCTGTGGAAAGCGAAGGCCTTTAAAATACTTAATAAATTCTAATCTTAATCATATTCATCATTATTAAAATTTGAAATAGGTTGAAATACTTAAGGTAAATGAAATGAAAAAACTAATAAAGGGCATGAAACACACTGGAGAAATGGAAGAATAATTGCTGAAGATTAAGAAATCTAAAATGGCCAAACATGAAAAAACCTTTGTTTCCTATAAGCTTTTATTTAAAAGTTTTGCAATAGCTTAATAATATAAAAGGAGAGTTTAAAAATGAATTGAATGTTAAGTGCAGCAGAGTGGCAAGAAATATTTAAATACATTAAAACTTAAACTAGTCCTGTGTTTGGGCTTCAAGCATGATTTAGGCCTTGGCAGTTCTTGAGAGAGTTGCTTCATCTGTCAGCAAGGAGACAACACTACTATTGTTGTTGCTATTAATAATAATTATCATCATTGTAGTAATAATAGTTTTCATAATAAGTAGTGCTTAGGGGTAACAAGATACTGTGGCTGAAGACACCAGCTTGCTCAGTCTTGTACAGGCAGAAGAAAAAGATTTTCCTCTGGAAAAGATTTTTTCTTTGGAAAAGAATGTGTAATCTAAACATGAAAGGAAGGACCTCTTGAAATATTTTGGTTTTAATTAAAAATTATAAAGATGCAATCAAAATGTTGGGCTTCTATTGTATCCTCCTTTCTTTTTTTACTAGTGAATGAAAGATGCCTTGCTGTGAATATTGCCTGACTATTGGAACATATTTGAGAATCGTTTTTCGAGAGCTGTAGAGACCTCTAAGTCAGGCAGAGAAATATCATACCCTAGGAAGTTCAGGGAAATTGATTTTTTGTGGGGGGTACTGCACTAGGGGTGTTTGAATGGTGCACTTCACAATGTAGTCTGTGGGAGAAAATTGAATTAAATATTTAAAACATTGAATCTAGTAATTTTATTTTTATTTTAGGGATTACTTACCTTGACCATG